GTGTCCTGAACCAGCCAGCTGCACAGGTGACGGCCCTGCGCTGAGCAGGCTGTATGCAGTCAGTAAATGGCCAGCATGGTTTTTATTGAGCCTGTCGACTTTGGGGATCTTTTAAAAACATGAAGGATTCTTTTTTTGTTTGTTTTTGTTTTTTTTTTGGAACCAGGGATTGAACTCAGGGGCACTCCCCCACTGAGCCACATCCCCAACCCTATTTTGTATTTTATTTAGAGACAGGGTCTCACTGAGTTGCTTAGCTCCTCACTTTTGCTGAGGCTGGCTTTGAACTCAAGATCCTCCTGCCTCAGCCTCCTGAGTTGCTGGGATGACAGGCATATGCCACCGCACATGATTTACATGCAGCATATTAAGTGTAGGGGGAAAAGTCATTTCAATGACATGGAAAAGGGAACAAGAACGACACTGTGTCCACAGAGAGTGGATGGAGGCTTGACCAATCTTGTTTCCAGGTAGGTCTTGCCTTGCTCATGCAGTGCATAGACACGAAGAACAATCAAGCTGGGGCAGGCCCCTGGCTGCAGAAGGACACCCGCAGAACACAGGAGGCACACCAAACCTGGGAGGGGCTCCCAGACACGGGGGCAGCCACCCACATTAGTGTGCTGCAGCAAGGGGCACCTGCCAGCTTGGCAGAGTGAGGTGGTGGTCAGGGAAGGCTGCCCAGAGAGCAGAGCTCCACTCTCAGGTCCAAGCTTGGCAGAAGCCATGGACAGCTCCCGATTCTCCCAGTGACCCTGTGAAATTGGTATCACAGTCCCCATCTACAGACCAGAGAGTTGGAGTCCAGGGAAGTTAAATGATGGGCCCAGAGTCACATAGCTGATCAGCCATGAAGATGGTGGGCCAATTTCCAACTCTCCTGAGCCTCCTTTCCTTCTGTGTGGGGAGCTGTGCCTGTGGCAGGGTTGCCATGCAGGGGTCCACACAGACCCTTAGTTCTTGCAGTAGTAACGCTGGCATCGGGATGAGGGTGGGGGTAGGCTGCTTGTTGGGGTGATTATTAGGTCTTTTGTTTATTTTTTGAGGAGCATAACACATCATCCTAGCCTGAGATGTGTTGCCCAAGTTCCTGCTTAGACTTGCAAAAGCTGAGCCTTGAACCCTCTCCCATTCCAGGACTTCCCAAGCAATCAGTAGGAGCCCTGAGTGGTCAGGCAGAGAGAATAGAAGGGAAGGGACTCCCAGCAGCCAGGGACTTGTCCCTGATTCCTATCTTAGTGCAACTCTAGCACTGCATTATCTAAACTCCCCTCTTCAAGAGAGGGAAGGGGCAGCTCTCTGCATCCTAAGAAATGGCCTGTTATCTAAATCAGCAGCAGGTATGGGAGGAAAACTCTTCCATGTTGACCACACTAGCAGTCAGGGATCTTGTAACTGAAGTGACAAACCCCATTACAAGTATCCTAAGCAAAAAGGGAAATTTGTGGGCACACATAGCTCAGAAGTCAGGGAGTATGTTGGGTGGATTCAGGAACAGCTGGATCTAGGTGTTGAACCAATGTCATCAGAATCCCCTCCTAGTGTCAGGTCCTTGCCTCAGGGTGGGCCCTACAGTGCCCACTTACCTCTCCATGGAACGAGCTCTTCTTTCCTATCAGGTGGGCCCCAGAGCCTGCCTTCATTTCCAAGTCCTTCCCTGAAGCACCACTTGGATCAAGGGCAGAAGCTCCTTTTGCCCTGACCTGGATGTGTGCCAGGGTGTCAGTGCCCAGAGGACACCCAGGGCTGTTTCTGAAACAGAAGGCAGGGAGCCAGGTGCCCTCACACCTGTGGCCCCTGGACTGCAGCAGGGCCCTGGGAGTAGTCCTCATCCTGTGAGACAGGGCAGAGGAGAAGTGTTGGGTGTGTCCTGTGGCCCCTCATGCAGTCTCTTTGGGTCTCAGGTACCCTGCAGTCCAGCCCTGCCACCATGACGCCCTCAGGGTCCTTCAGCGGCTCCCAGGATGACAGTGATTCAGACGTGACCTTCAGTGTCAACCAGTCATCCTCATCAGAGTCGTCCCTGGGTAAGGATGTGCAGACCCCAGCAGGGCTGGGCGGGGGGCCACCTGGCTCCCTGGGCCTCCCCCACCCACTCTCACCCTGGCTGCGCTTCCTGGGGAGGGTCAGGCTGCACAGATGCAGCACCCGCGGGTGCTGCTGGCTGCACCTCCTCTTGAGGCTTGGGGGGTGGAAGGGGAGGAAAGGTGCCCAACCCCCCTGCCCACCAAGGTGGGTTTCCAGGGGCTCCCGCGGCTCTGCAGCTTGCCTGGCAAAGCCGGCCTAAGAGCCACATGGGTGACGAGTCCTCTTCTCCCCTTGGCAGTGACCGCCCCCAGCTCCCCACTGAGTCCCCCGGTGTCCCCAGGGCTCTCCCCGCCCGAGCCAGCAGGCAGCAGGAACGGCGAGTGCACCGTGTGCTTCGATGGCGAGGTGGACACGGTCATCTACACGTGCGGACACATGTGCCTGTGCCATGGCTGTGGCCTGCGGCTCAAGAGGCAGCCCCGGGCCTGCTGCCCCATCTGCCGGAGGCCCATCAAAGACGTCATCAAGATCTACAGGCCGTAGTGGCCAGTGAGCCCTGGCCAGAGCAGTCACCATCCTGCAGCCCCACTGGGCTGGGCAGCCACCTGGGCCACCGAGGAGTCTGAGGGCAGGAGCCCTCCCTCACCTGCACTCCCCAGTGGTGGGCAGGATGCAGAGTCCTGGGGTCCGAGCCCAGCTTCTAGCTCAGAAGGTCTTTGCCCCCAAAGGCCGTCCAAGAGCAAGCTCAGGAACTGCCTGGCAGGTCCCCAGTCCCCCGGACCTTTCAGCTGGGACACGCGCCCTCTGACTGTGCAGTGCTTCTTTCTGGGGGTGGACGGATGGCTGTGAGAGAAAAGGGGGGGATGGGAGCAGGCTGTGTCCTGGGCAGGGCTGGCTGGGGTGCTTATTTAACGCTAAGGGATGTGCAATCTGGAGCTCAGATTTTAGCAAGGCTGACACCTTCCGCTCTCTGGGGATGTGACGCAGCCACCTTTGAATGTAAGAGGCCTGAACAGAGAACTGCAAGGACGGGCTGAGGAGAGAGCCGTTTGCCTGGGAGGCAAAAATAACTCATTGTTTACAGCAGAAGCCGGAGCAGCTCCTCCGCTGGTGGGTGGCGTTCCCAGGGCTCCTCTTGGAGGCACATCTGGGGGGTTGCAGCAGGGTGCTCGGGATGTGGCATCCTCTCACGCTGGCACCTGACTCCCTGGCAAGATGTTTCGGCCTTTCGAGGGCCCTCCCTTCTCCAGGGAGACAGGGCGGCTCTGTGTGGGAGGGGAGGGGAGAGGAGGGCCTCTGAGGTGGGCCACTCACTTGGCCTTGGAAATGTCACCCTCCATATTCCCTGGGCTGACGTTTACGGGGCCGTGGGCATTCCCAGGGGGCAGGAGCAGGAGGAACCAGGGCTTTGTGGCCGGTGCTTGTCTCGATTTCCAGCTGATCTTCTCCTGTGCTGGTTGCCAGGTGTCGAGGGCCATGTCCACTAATAACAGAGACATCAGCTGGAATCCCAGGCTCTGGGACCCCCCACCCTTAGGCCAGCCTGCTGGAAGTTCCTGGGGCCCTGGCCCTGCCCACCCCTCGCCCAGGCCCAGCTCTGTCGACACCCAGACCTCACTGGGGCCCAGGGATGGCTCAGGCCACCCCTGTCTTCTTGTCCCTGGGCCACTCTGCTCGGGCCCTGTTTCTGTGTCCCTAACTGGAAGTGCAGCGCTGGACACTCTAGGGAAGCCTGCACAGGTTCTAGAAAGCTGAGACCCTTGCAATGAGCAGTGTGTGTTTTTCTCTCAACTCCTGATCTGTTCTGGACGTGCCAAGAGAGGGGAGGAGAGAACTGTGCAGGGAGCTTGTGAGCTCACGAAGCCGCAGTTCCCGGGAGCCGGGCGGGCCAGCGCGGGAGGTCAGGTTCCCCAAGACCAGTCCATGGCCTGGGTGCTCGAGGTCTGGGTCAACTGCTGTCTCCGGGTGGGCGTGGCCGTGGGTTTCTGACCTGACCCCGCCCCCCTCCCAGCCAGGCCTCGGGTGCTGGCTCTGCCTGGTGAGTCGCGCCCACATCTGGATTCGGCAGCAGCATCTCTGACAGCTCTGGAAGCCCAGGGAAGCCCTGGTAAGAGTTTGAGGATCCAGGCAGCCCTGGGGCCCCGGCCCATGGCATGGCAGGCATCTTGTGCTTCCCCTGTGCTGGGAGTGGGCCGAGCCTTGCGCAGGCCCTGTGGTCTCGTCACCAGGGACAGTGCTCTGCAGGCATCGTCCCCCTGACCAGATTTGAGACTCAGTCACATACCCCAGTGGTCTGAGAAGCTGGGGGACCAGCCCTTGCCCTTCCCCGCTGCCCCCTGGCGTCCTAGCAGGGGTCACATACACCTGCCACCAGGAACCCAGTGACAGGGAGCCTGGGCCCCAGGATGGGCCAGGTGTTCTCCCGGTGACCTGTTACCTGGGAGGAAGTGAGGTGGCCTGCTGAACCTGCTCTGCAGCCACTATAAATAGCCTCCGTTTCCAAGGGCAGCAGAGGGTGTTCACGCTCTGGGAGGCAGACGCTTCCGGCTGTGCGCTAGAGGGCTGGCTCTGGTGCTTCCAAGGGACACACGTGGCCCCCGCCGGGGTGTCTTGGGAAGGGGACGGGAGGAAGAAGAACCACTTTTCTTTATTCACACCCACTATGTGCCTTGGCACTGGGCCAGAGAAGCACCTGCACGTGGTCACCCTGGGAAACATGAGCCCTGTGGTGTCACATCTGAGCCCCTGGTGGGCGCGCCACTAAGAAAACACTGCCAATCTTCACGCAAGGTGCTGTGAACGCACAGCCCACTCCTGCCCGTCCAGCAGGCCTGGGGAAGTGTGCAGGGGGCCATGGTCCTGCGTCCCTGCCTGGCAGGTGAGAACTGGCGTCCCAGGGAAAGGGCCCACATGACAGAGGGGGCAGGGCTGGGCTTCTGGCCCAGGAGTGTCCTGGACACCGTCAGCATAGGCTGGGCACCGGCAGCCCCTCTGTGCCCATGCCCAGAAGGAACCCATGACCTCTCCTCAGGCTCCTGTGCTCACCGCCTGCCCCCTCCCAGGGGGACTGAGCTACCCAGGCGGTGGCTCCAGCCCTAGGTCTTGGGTTACCTGGATGCCCCAGGGGGCAACTCTGGGAGAGGCCCAGGGCGGGGCCTTGTCCCATCAGCTTCCTGGGCTGTGTGACCCCATCCTAGCTGCCCCAGCCTCCTGTTCTCCAGGCTCACCCCTGTGTGCCCTTCCAGACTGCAGCATCCAGGGTTCTGGGGGCAGCGGGGGAGGCCAGCAGACGCCTGTTTGTTGTGACCTTGCCCCTGCCTGCTTGGAGCTCCTGCACAGCTGGGCTGCTCCTGAGCAAAGCAGCCCCCTATTCTCCAGTGCATCCTGGAGGGGATTCCTGGGCCTCAGCCACTAGGGGTGTCTGCTCCCTGTGCCAGCCACCACCCAGCTCCCAGCATTCCACCCCGCTCCCCAGCACAGGCTGTTGTGGACGTGGGGCTGAGAACTGGGACCAGAGAGAGGCTGTAAGGAGCTCTGGAGGAGGACGGGCCAGAGCCCAGCTTGTGTTCAGTGGCTCTGGTGTTGGGTCCTCTGCTGGCTGTACTAGGTGCTCACCGAAGGGTGCAGAACGGGCAGAAGCCTGGTGACGAGGGTCCCTCAGCTCGTGCTCACATAGTCACTCAGCAAACGTCTGCCGAGTGCTCACAGATGTGAGATGCAGGGTGCTGGGGGAACGGGGCAGGGGAGGTGCCCACCTGACACCGGAGTGGAGCCCAGGGCAATGAGGCCTTAGGGAACCCCTGGGCTTTCTTGGCCGTCCTGCTGCCTCAGGTCCACTTAAGGGAACCCCCAGCAATCCCCTTGGAGCAGAGCTGCCTCGTTAGAAATATGGGGCACCTGTGGTCATTGAGCTGCCGCCAAAATGGCCTTAGGCAGAGCCCCAAAGGCCCCACCCGCCAATGGCCACCTTGAGGTCCTGCCAGGGAGACCTGGGAGCTGCTCACTGCTGCTTTCTGGCCCCAGAAACCGTCCCACGTCCCAAGGCCCCGGAGAACCCTGAGTAGGTCATTCCAGACGAGAATTGGGTTGTGCGAGGCTGTGGTGAGGGAGCGGCACTGACCCCCCCACTGCCCAGCCCTGTCCCAGCTCTGGCCTGGGGTTTCCGGCTCAGGAACACACGACCTCTCGGCATTTCTTGGAAGTTGTCTCCCTGTCTCCTCCAAGTCCCTGACAACATGACTCGTGCAACAATCTGTCTGTGCCTTATGAAAGTGTCTGTGCACTTTTGATCCTTTTCTAAAGCAACTTTTAACAGTGGACGGGGGCCCAGCAGACATGACAGGGTCCAGAAACCTGGGTTTGGTCACCAAGACCCGTTTATGTGGTCTTTGATAGCAGAGGGAGAGCGCCTCCACCCGCCCACTCCCCAACCTGTGTACAGACCTTTTTAAGCGTCTCTGTCTCTATCTGATTCAATACTGTGACCTCTCCATACGGTCTACACTTTGGGGAACTGAAATAAAGTTTTAAAACTTGGGGGAGTGGGTTGGGAAGGGTTTGCACTGGTCTTTGTGTTTTTGTGTGTTGTGTGTTCTGATTTTTGTGTGTTTTTATGTTTTATATTAACATAATTTTCTTGTTTGAAAAACAAATACAACTTTGGCTTAAGAAAAAAAAAAGTGTCTTCAGAACTCAATTCTAAAAACTGCGCTCACATGTGGTGTTGGCAGGGGGCAGGACCCAGATCACCACCAGCCTTAAACTGCGCAGCCTTTAACCCCTTTGCCAAGTAAATCACTTGTGCTAAAATAGTGCAAGGAAATAAGTTTAATCGGGGATAAGTTCTATGTGTAAAGATGTTCATTGCAGCATTATTTGTAACGTAAAAAAACTAAGAAACTCATGTTCAACAAGCATGGCAAATTCCCACCTCTCCTGAAACTCTTGGTCACAAGTGACAGAAAGCCAACAGCAAGGATAAAGGTGATAACAGACATAACTTAAAAATCTAGCAGCAGAGCCCACTTCGGGTGCAGGTGGATCAAGCATTTGAAATGCTGTCTCGGGACCAGCTCTCTGCCCTCTGCTCTGGCCCCATTCCCACAGGTTCCCAAGATGGTAGCCTGCAGGCCCAGCCCACTTCCTGCCATTGATCATTGCTACGGAGACCAATGGGGATCACAGGTCCCTTCCTGAACCAATTCCTGATGCCAGGGAAATAGGCATCAGGACGTTCACATCCAATAGCTGTCCCACTCCCAGTTCTGAGGCCTGAAAGGGGACAGTCCTTCTCCAGCAAACCTGGAGCCCATGCAGGGTACGCCCCAGCAGGTGACACAGCCGCATACGCGCAGGAAGGTGGAAGAAAGCACAGCCACCAGGCAGCATTGCCTAGCTCGAGTGGCCTGAGCGTGACCTGAGTGGCACTCCACCTGCTGTGCCCTGGTTCCTCACCTGCAGGGGACCCCTGGCCCTGCGGTGGGCAGGAGCCTTGTTGGGGTCAGGCTGGACACCAGCCAGCTGGGGTCTGCCCTGGACTCGTGTTCACGTCCAGGTGGGGAATCGGAAGGCAAGCTGCACAGAAGGTCTGATCTCTCTGGAAACCAGCAACAGCCCCAGACCTGAAAAGCAGCAGGGTGTCCCCAGGGCTGCTCCTGAGGGTGGCAGGTGAGTGACATCCCTGTGCTTTGCAAATGACTTTTCCACTTGTTCCTGGCGGGGAGGGGGGTCCCCCACTCCACAAAAAAAGTGCAGGGAAGAGCCCGGGGCTGGAGTCTGTCAGCTTTCCCAGGCCCGTGGCCTGGGAGTTCAGATGCAAATTTAGCCTGGCGGAGGGAGATAAGGGCCCGCTCAGGGACAGCGCGGGGCAGGCGGGGCTGACCAGCTTGGCCTGGCCTGGAGCAAGCTGGGCTTGGGGGCCGGCTTTGGGTGGAGGCTCATGGTGGTATCAGGAGTGGGGAGGGAGGAGGAAGGTGAACGAGCCCCCGGCCTGTCCTCCTGGCCTGCTAGGAGAGCCCAGCCTGGTGACAGCGAGTGTTGGGAACAGTGCACAAGGGAAAGGAGCGGGAGCCGGGTCCCCACACTCTGGGGGTGCTCAGGGACCAGGGTCCTCCAAGGTGGAACTGGGCCTGGGCCGGGGGCTGCTCTAGGGCAAAGCCCAGTCACGGGGAAAAGCTTGCCCTCCCCCACAAGACCTCCACTAGGGCGGGGTCTGTCCCGAAGCCAGGCTCCTTTCTCCCATCCTAGGTGTTCTTCCCTCCTGTCACCTGCTTCTTAATTAGGCCAAGGGACATTCGTAATGGATGACATTTAATAATCAGGACTTTTTTTAAATAAAGAAAAAAAATGGCCATATTGATCTAGGCCTTATGATTAATAAACAACTGAAACAACTCAAGAAAAGCCCAACTTAAGGGGGAAAAAAAGAGGGGGCAGAATTTACTCACACCCTCATAGTTGCTTCAGGAATGGCTGCATCCAGGTGTTCGCATGAGGTCTTCATGCATCTGCCTGGTCTCTCAGTTCTGCTTTCCTCTAGGTTGACATTGCTCTTGGGCAGGCTCTCCCTTTGTGGTGACTAAGATGGCCCCAGTGACTCTGAACTTACACCATGCCAGCTTTATAACCCTTTAAAGAAGTGTTTTAGTCAACTTCGGTGTCATGTGACCAAATACTTGACAAGAACTGCTTAGAGGAGGAAAAGTCTATTGGAGGCTTACAAAACAGAGGTCCTGGTGCAGGTGGCCAGTCCCACTGCCCTGGGCCCCGCAGAATGCTGCCGTCACGGTGGAAGGGCACAGTGGAAGGGGGGGTGCTCAGCTCATGGCAGGGCCTGGCAGCGGGGGGCAGGGAAGATCCCCCTTCTAAGGAATGACCCCAGTGGCCCTCCTCCAGCCTCGCCCCACCTGCCTACAGTGACCACTGGTCAGTCCATGCAAGCTGGGCTGGACTGCACCCAGGCGTGTCACCTCTGAACGTTGCTGTGGTAACAGGGACTTCAGGGGACACCTCGCACCCCAACCAGAACAAGAAGGTCCAGGGAAGGCCCCCGGGCTGTCTTTCCTTTGACCTCCTGGATCCAAAACCCAGTCCCTGCACCAGTCTCTGTGACCTGCCCACACAGGTAGGAGTGGCCCTTGCCCTCAGGAGCCACCACGTCTAGAAGGGAAGGCTGACCCCCAAACAGACGAGGGGGACCAGCACAGGGGGCTGCTGGGACACATCCGCTCCGGGCAGCGGCTCTGGCTCTTCAGTGGGGGACTCCGCAGCCATCTCTCTCCTGGCCGGAGGTGCTCCCCACAGCCCAGCTGGCCACCTGACCTGGCCTGCTTCTCCCCCAGTGTCGGGCACACAGAGTCAGTGCCCTGGTCCTCGCGCCCCGGCCTCCGGGGAGTGTGCTGTGGGACTTCCTGCTTCCTGGTCGGGGTCCCGCAGGACCAGCTCTCCTCCACAGGACAAGGGGCAGGTGGCCCTACTGCCCGCGAAGGACAGCACCTCCTGCCCGCTCCGCGCCTCTGTGAAGCACGTCCCACTGTCACTGCCGTTTGTGGGCAAGGCTGGGACTTGGACAAATCAGCCGCTTTGTCCCACTCTATGGGGCCTCCCGGACACCGAAGGGACCGTCTGTCTGTCATCATCGCCCAGAGTCCGGACCCATGGTCCCCAGGGCGAATGGGCCGGGGACGTTCACAACTGTGATCTCACTGACCCCATGTCAACCCCCAGTGGGTGTCGCCGTCCCACATCACAGGTGAGGGAAGGGGACAGGAGGGCAGCAGCCGACCCACCACTCTACTGGTGAGCTGAGGGCCGGGGTCCGGCTCCTCTGAGCACAGTGTCCAGGGGAGGGCGGGGAGGGGCAGGGAGGGGAACCGAAGAAGGCAGAAGGCAGTCGGGGCAGAGCCAGCCCCCAGAAGGGCCCAGAAGAGCCGTCGCTGGGCCCTGGCCTCGGCGACAGCCCGTCCAGCCTCCGCCCCTGGAAGCCGGCTTTGGCTCCCACATGGGGACGTGGAAACCAGATGTCCCCCGCATCTGCTGTGGGAACAGAAGCTGGCCTTGGCCGGGGCATGCCCAGGGAGAAGCCCCCAGAAGCCTGTAGGAGGCCGGTCACCACTGGGTGCCTCGGGGCCTGCCCTCAGCCCCACCCACCCCCAGGCCCACCCAGGTGTAAAACCTGCTCCCCAGACTCAGGGTCCAGACGCGCCCTGCCCTCCCAGCCATCTGGAAAGACCTGGGGATGGGAGGGATGGGGCGTCAGGTGCCCAGGCCACGTGGCCCAGCAAGCATGCTCAACCTCCCCAGGACCCCCAGAGCGCCTGGCACCAACCCTGTGCCTGGGCCCCTGGGTTTGTGTAGCCACAGGGAGGACCCGCTCTGATCCTCAATGCCTCACCTGTCAGGGGTCCTGTAAGACCACTCCCTTCCCAGGCCGCATCGCCCTCTCAGCGGGAGAAGCTGCCTCCGAAGTCCTGCACCAAGTCTACACGGTGGATGAGACTTCTCCCCAGCTGAGACCAACAACCCAGGCCCAGGCCTGCCTCTGCTGAGTGACCCCGGAGGACTTGTTTGCTTTCTCTGAACCTCAGTTTCTGCATCTTTGAGGGAAGAGGGGTGTCAGCCCCTTGTGGATTTCATAGAGATGATCCCCGTCATTACACTGCTGTTCTTCAGTAGGAGCTGAGCACAGCAGTCCCCCCTTACCCTCAGCTTCACTTTCTGTGATTTATTTTCGTTATCCACGGTCAACACTGATCTGAATATGAAGTGGAAAATTCCAGAAATAAATAATTCCTAAGTTTTAAATTGCACGTCTGCCCCAGCCGGATAAAATCTCACAATGTCCTGGTCCAGCCCACTTGGAATGTGGATCAGACTTTGCCCAGTGTATCCACACTGTATATGTTACCTGCCTGGTAGTCACTTAGTAGCCATCTCAGTTATCTGATCAACTGTCACGGCATCACAGGGCTTGTGTTCAGGGGGCCCTTGTTTGATTTGCCCCAAATTGCAAGATTAGTGATGGCACGGGGCACAAGCCACGGAGGGACAGGTTAACCCTGGTGCCTCTGGCAACACCACAGGTCAATTAGGAAAAGACAGTACATATGAGACCAATGCTATCCTCGCTCAGAGGGTTGTGGAACACATCCCCACAGGGAAAGGGGACTTCTGTGGTGGCAGTTATTGTTTTCACCATAATTTTGGCCCTGAAACTCCACCTCCCCCCCCTCCTCTCCTTCCCCCACCCCATCCCTCCCAGCTCAGCCAGGGGCTGCCCCTGTCCTCCCAAAGCCCCCAGGGCCTCCCTTATCTGAGCCCTGAGGGCGTCTGTCCTGCCTCAGGACTACCCCATGACACTCCTGCAGCAGCAGCAAGACCTACCAAATGGTGGTCTAGAGAGCCTCCTGCCCCCGCCCGTGCCCCCCACCACACCCCCAGGTGGCATGCCTGCGTCAGTGTGCCGCTGTCCACAGAGCCCACGGGAAGCGTCATCACAGGGCAGGGCCTGCCCTGGCCCCTTGTTTGTTTGGGCTTATGGTCAAGAATGCTGGCCCTGGGCCTGGGAGGCCGCCTGACCCCCACTCCAGAGGGACAGCCTCGCTCCCTCCACGCCACAGCCGCCTGCATTCCAGGAGTGGCGTGGGAAGGGCCAGGTCTCCCAGCCCACAGGGCGCCACTGCAG